CCCCCGCGCAGCCTCCGCGCTCCGTGCGGCCGCCGCTGCCACCGGGCAGCGGGTGTAAAACCCGAGTGATTTTGTTCAGCTCTACTTTGTTTTCTTTGTGGTTTCCCCGTGGGGCTCTGCTGCACCCCGTGAACAGTCTAATCTCGTTTAAATGACTTGCCAGACCACACAGCATCGCATTACCCCGCGCCATACGTACCCGCAATGTTATTTATGGTACTGGGCGCTCTCCGCTCCGAAAAGCAGGATGCAGGGGGTAGAGGGGGCAGCAGCCTTGCAGCTCTCTCAGGTGGAGAAAGGAGTTTCCCTCAACGAGAATGGAGTGAAAATAGAAGCACAGAAACCTCTGAGGAAAATATTAAGTATGTATCAGGCAGACCACAGGTTCTCCACCCACCTGAAATGATTTGCATTTTTACAATTGCTTTCTATGGTTTATGGGTAAATAATCTCTGCTCTTCAGATTTGGGGTGATACGGTTAACTCTACATCTATTATGTTTGCCATTGTTACATTGTACTTCAGGCATAGAAAATTAATTTAGTAATTCCAGTACCTCCCAGTACCTCCATATTTAGCTTAAAAGTGCATGTGGTTTACTGACATCACTGAAAGCTGTGAACATACCTGTTGTATCTATGTATTTTGGGAGATCATAATTATTTACAGCTTTATTGATATGAAGGTGCTAATGGCTAAGTTCCTTACTCTATAAATTTCTATTAAAGTCAGCAAGCATTTGCTTGGCCGAGGACTGAGAGATTAATCCTTGATTCAAAGTCCGTGGAATTCAGTAAGAGCTTTTCCTTTAGTGCCACGGTGCATTTGGATCAGGCCCAATCTTATTACTAGAAAAATTATATTCCCTTGTTCTCAGATAATCTCTTAATGGCTGATTGAAGGAAATTATTCAAAACAATAAATGCAGCATTTTTTTAAAAAAAAAGTTAAATAGCTCTTTCTTCTCTGTGTTACTTACTCATTTTCTCTGCAAGAAAGAGAGGAAACAGTAGACGGAAACATAACACTACCGAAATGTGCGCTACGCTGCTGCTGAGATGACTGTCATGTGGCTTGTAAAGGTTTGTGACTGTCTCAAACAGTGCTACAATAGGCATATTCAGACCAATACAGAGCTGTAACCTGCAGCCACGAAAATAACTAAATAAAAGGGATATGCAGATGTCTGCAAGTGAAGAGAGGGAGCGTGAAAACATATAAACAAAATGCATCCAAGACTTGGAGGAGTCTGCCTAGGTCCCATCCAGGTGCTTGATGGGCTGAGCTCTTGGAAAAGTGTTGCTCCTTTTCTGGCAACTCAGTGTTTCCAAATCAGCTTCAGAACATTCCTCTAGATTTAGGGAAAAGAGTGGTGTAACCAGGACAGGTGCCTGGCTCATGCTGCCGATGCGTTTATCTTTGTGCAGGACGGACCCACTGTTCACATAAATCTCCTAGTACTTTTAGCATTTCTCCCCCCATTACTTTCACAACAGGAAGCTTGGTCTGATCTCACTCAGCCCTGCAAACATCCTGGAGTTGGGTTACCTGGATATAAAAGATCACTCTTCTCCCAAGCCCTGGTTGGATCAAACCAGATGACAGGCTTACACCCAGGCACATGAGTGCAGGAGCAGAAGTTGAATGTTGTCTGTATGGAGATGTCATGTGCAGGAACATATGTCCCTGCATGAAAGGACCTACTGGCAGATGTAAACTGCTCTAAACTGAAGTCTGATAAATGTTGCAATTATTTTTTTCAGGTTTATTTATTTATTTATGAAAGAGTACTACAGATCAAGGTTTGTACCATGTGGCTGGGGTTTTCAGAGGAAATCTCCTTTGTGGTTTTAGGGTATATTAGGGTGGCCATGAGGAAGAATCTTGAAGACTTTTCACCTAGATGATGGACAGGACAGAGGAACAAATGGGAAGG